CAGTCCGCTTCTCTCTCTCTCTCTCTCTCTCTCTCTCTCTCTCTCTCTCTCTCTCTCTCTCTCTCTCTCTCTCTCTCTCTCTCTTTCTCTCTCTCTCGCTCTCTCTCTCAGTGCTCGACTGAGTACCTGTGTAATTTAATAATAGGTCTCTCAAAATTTTTTAAGGTGTGCCTCCTTCATTGGATTATAAAACCCTTGCTGAGCATATGCGCTATTTGCAATGGTTGTACAAGTATCAAGTTGAGAATGTCAGTTAGGGAATAGCCCAGCAGCTCCACCCATATCACCGCAGCACCCATCTATTCTTGTCTGTTTTTCCTCTCTTTCACTCATTTCCTGACTTGGGTTCTTCCAGCTATCTGGTATTACAGCTTGCAAAGATACAGATGCAGTTCAATGTCCTGCATTTATTTCCCTCTGCTGCTGGAAGTGCATTCCTCTTGCAATCTCAAACATGTTTCCTTCCCTCCGCTTTCTTGATTGTAGAAGATAGACTGCATCCTTTTCTTACTTATCTCTGTCTACCCCCACATCACAAGACCTTAAAGGTCCCCTCCAGTTGACAAATTAAATTAATCGTATGAAAACCGGTGACCTTCGCTGATCATCGTTCATATACAGGATCCGTCAGCAAACACAAATCCAGCAAACATTCAAACAGCTTCTTCCCTCTACCCAACCCCTCCCAAATAGACAAAAACGTTCCCAAATTTTTCAGGGCTTGTAAGATGGCGGTTGTGGAGCCTGAGTAAATACCGCCACTTGATAAGATAGTATATTCCTTTGTTCACTCTGGCTACACAAAGAATTTGGTGTCCAGTTCTGCGTCACACTAAGGCTATGTTCACAATGGCATTCAACTCAGATTATTATTCTTATTTATTTATTTTTATTTTTTTTGTGGCTCATAGATTATTTGTTTTATGTGTATTAGCCCATATTTCCACACAATAAATCAGGTATGGCAGTAATCACGAACAGTATATGTGTAAGGACTCCTTTTTCGGAGAGTCTTGATTTGATCAAGAATACCTTTAATTTTGAATATTTTTACTTGTAACATTTTCTATATGACATTTCCAGCATAATGTTGCATCAATTACAACGCCAAGAAATAATAGTAATTGTAAAAAAGTAATTTCATTTCCTCTTTCTATTTCAATAGAGTTGTCGATCATTTTGACTTGGTGTTTCATTTGTGTGGTGCCAAAGCTGATAGACTTTGTTTTATTTAAATTCAAAGACAATTTATTTG